TAGTAAATATAGGAGAAACTGCACAGTTCAGCCAGACCTGAGAAGAACAGGTGAAAACTTCTGGGGACCACTGATCCATTACTTCTCCTGCAGGTTTAGTCTGGGACCAAAATAAGTGACAAATCCTGTACTCTACATGCACTTTCTCTTACCTGGTGTTCCCTTCAACATGGCTTCTTCAAAGGAAACCCTAGGAATCAGGGATCCATGACTGCAGGATGCTTCTATCCTCTGAGAATGCGTGTGCTCACTCTTCGGGGGCTCCCACAGGGTGCTGACCAATTTTGGCTGATGAGGTTTTTCTTCCTTCCCTGGCCATGGGGGAAAAGGACCACCCCGAGCAGCGAAGGGTGAGCAGAAAGGAATCAGTAATGGAGTGGTGGCAATGGAGAGAATCATTGAAAAAAGAAATAACAGTGTACACAACACATAGCAATGTAAAAGATGATGGCTAGTTTAGGGAAACATGAGCAGTGTGTTTTGGTGGTGATGTGTGTGTGTGTGTGTGTGCGCGCACGTGCATTTATGAGAGCAGTGATGGGAAACAAATTTGAAAAGTCAGGTTAGGGCCAGCTTGAGAAAGGTCTTAAATACTAAGCCGTCTGAAGTTTTTGCGGATTATTTTGCCAAACTTGGTGATCAACGAGTGGGAAGAAGTGCTGGAAGAGGAAATATCTGTGAGGAACAGGGGAGTGTATTAATAAGGCAATATTAAGAGAAGCTGTTGCATTAGTAAATATAGGAGAAACTGCACAGTTCAGCCAGACCTGAGAAGAACAGGTGAAAACTTCTGGGGACCACTGATCCATTACTTCTCCTGCAGGTTTAGTCTGGGACCAAAATAAGTGACAAATCCTGTACTCTACATGCACTTTCTCTTACCTGGTGTTCCCTTCAACATGGCTTCTTCAAAGGAAACCCTAGGAATCAGGGATCCATGACTGCAGGATGCTTCTATCCTCTGAGAATGCGTGTGCTCACTCTTCGGGGGCTCCCACAGGGTGCTGACCAATTTTGGCTGATGAGGTTTTTCTTCCTTCCCTGGCCATGGGGGAAAAGGACCACCCCGAGCAGCGAAGGGTGAGCAGAAAGGAATCAGTAATGGAGTGGTGGCAATGGAGAGAATCATTGAAAAAAGAAATAACAGTGTACACAACACATAGCAATGTAAAAGATGATGGCTAGTTTAGGGAAACATGAGCAGTGTGTTTTGGTGGTGATGTGTGTGTGTGTGTGTGTGCGCGCACGTGCATTTATGAGAGCAGTGATGGGAAACAAATTTGAAAAGTCAGGTTAGGGCCAGCTTGAGAAAGGTCTTAAATGATATCCTTGTGATTTTGTTTGATTTTATTGGCAGTGAGGCATCATCGAAGTGTTTTAAATAGAAGAGACACGTGATCAATTGTGCATTTTAGAAAAACTTTGAATGCAGTTTGGGATATTATGATGGGGATTAAACCAGGTTGGATGACCAGTTGGGAAATGACTGCAGTCACTGAAACAACACAAGATGAGACACTAAATTAGGATAGCAGCAGTTGAAATAGAGAGGATAGATTTAAGATAGAAATGAATTGAATTACAAGCAACATATGTGAAAGACTTTGGGATTAGGTAGGAGGGATAAGAAAGAAGAGCGAAGGGTTGGATATCTCCAGTTTTAGCATCGGTGGCTGGCGAAACTGCTAGCCACTGTGTGGCACACAGATAGGGGAGTATATTGGGAGCTGAGTGTGGTAAAATAATGTATTTTATATATATTGAGTGTGTCATGCTTACAGAATATCTAGCAAAGATCCAAATCTGGGCATGGAGTCCAGGAAAGATATCAATAAAAACCACTAGTTGTAGGCATTAGTTGAAACCAAGAGACCTGATGAAGTAATTACAGCTTATGACCCAGCTGTTAGCTGTCATTCAGGTCATATGGGAACTTTGGAGTAACAGGGAAAAACATTCTTTGCCAGAAGGTAAAAACAACCCCCAAGATCCCAAGCCACAACCATCTGAATTCTCCAGCTATGCTTTTGGCAGAAGCTGAACAGCATCCACAGAGAAAGCATATTTTGTCCTGTAGATCCAATTTTGCTTGCGTGAAATTCTTAGTTTGGATACAAAGACTATAAGATATCTGACATATGGTTGGTTTAGAAATTTTGTTTTCCTCAGTAATTTGATTGGATTTGCCTATGATCCATTTGATCACTTACCACAATCAATTATAAATTTAGAAAATATGTGACAAAATCTAAAAAGCTGACTTATCTAAGTTAGATAGGCTATGAATACAAACTTGGAAACAAATGCATCAGATTCTTTCTGAACTTTTCTCTTTTAGGATTCCTTTAGTTCTCTCTCCCTCCCTCCTTGGAAAATCAGCTTGACTATGTAATTCAGTGTGAAATGCCTCTAGAGTTTGTTTTGGTGGCTCCATGAATGTCAGGGAGTGTGAAAGTGTCAGACAGGCTGTTGCAACTTGGTCTCCATAGAAGTTATCAAGACCCAATTAATTCTTTTGGTCAGTTTGATTTTTCTGTGGTCTTACAGATCTATTCATTATTTCTCAAGATTTGACACTTCATAGGGCAAGCAGAATTCGACATGGTTTAAACATTCAATTTATCTAAAGCATCTGAACATCATCCTTATAATGGCAAAGTATTTTCTTGGGTAAAAATGGTTGATGTGCTTTTGCTTTATTTGAAAAATGGTGTCAGAGTATCTGTACAGGGCAACAGGCTTGATGAGTTGGTAAGGTTCTTTTAATTAATAATTATTTTTAAAATTACAAAAGTTATACATACTTAAAACTTTCAAACTGTAGAAAGCAGAAAGTGAAAAAAAAAAGGTGAGAATGTCCATGATCACTGGAAACTTGGGCATCATTTCATATGTTTACTAGCCACCTGTAAAGGCATGGATAACATTTATAAAATGAGTGATACATTCACTCGTGGTTTGCTCCCTTACTTTTACATAACAAAGTATCTAAGTGATTGTTCCTAATCAGCACTATAGATCTACTTCATTCTTTTTAAAAGCTACATGGTATATGTAGTATAGATTTTCCATAATTTAATAATGATCCTATTGATGGACACTCGGCTGCTACTGCCTTATACATACATTTTGTACACTTTTATCTGTAAAATTATTTGCACACATTTATCTGTACTCATTTATTCTTAGAAGTTGGATTGCTGGATCAGATGATAAATGTATTTTTGATTTTGACTGATACTGTCAAATTGTCTTCCAGAGGGGTTGTACCAATTTATATCTTCACCAGCAATGAATAAAAATGCCTGCTTCTCTTGATCCCCTCTAATATAGCATTCTGAAATTGTTTTGAATCTTTGCCAACCTAATAATTGAAAAATGGTTTCTTGTGGTTTAGTCCATATTTGGAAATGATATTTCATTGTGGTTTGATTTGTTTCCTTAACTATTCCTTTTGCTGTGAATCGTATCCTATTGTTTGCTCATTTTTCCAAAGAACGTTGTTTGTATTTTGTTTTTTATTTTTGTAAGAATTGTTTACTCATTAAGAAAATCAATGCTGTGGTACATTTGTTGCAAAAATATACATCCAATTTGTTCAACTTTTGAAGTCACTTATGGTATTTTTATGATGTTAAAATTTTTAGTTTTTTAAGTTGAAATTTATGAATCATCTATGGTTTCTAGTTTTGTGTCTTATTTAGAAAACATTCTTGCCATTGCAATTATAAAAGCAAAGTTCTCTATTTGTTATTTTTTATGTTTAATTCTTTGATCCATCTGGAAATGTTTTGAATATAAATATTAAGTATGGATCCAGTTTGGTACTTTGAAGACCTTAAACCACTTATAATACTCTATGCTCACACACAGCCCAGTCCCATAACTTACCATATATCAAAATACTTATGTACTCCAGGATATTTTTCAACCTTACTTTGTTCCACTTTTCAACCTGACTGAATCAAACTCTCTTGATCATTGCAGCTATATAAAATATTTAAATATACTGAAAGATCTCTAGATTTTTTCTTACTTTCAGTATTTTCTAGGTATTCTTTCATGCATATTTTTATCATAAAACCTTTATAATTAGTTTGCATAGTCATTAGAATTAGTCTCACTGGTATCATGGAGATAGTGTTAAATTTATAGATCAATTCAGAAGAAACCAATACCTTTCAAAATATCATTTTCTTACCACTCCCCAGTAAAATATATTTATTTGTTAAGTTATTCACCTATCAACCTCAAAATCATTTTAAAGTTTTCTTCACATGGATCTTATATATTTATTAAGTTTAATACCATGTATTTTACAGTTCTAGTTTATATTGTAGTGGAAATCTCTTCTCAAATACGTACTCTATGTGTTATTTCTTTATATATATAGAAAAGTCATTGATTTTTTGGTGATTTTAGATTATTTTTAATAGTTTCTTAGGTTTTCATATGCTTTTCTTAGATGTTCAAGACTCAGTCTTCTACAAATGATTATTTTGGCTTCTATTTCTATTTCCTATACACCTCGTTTTTCTTGTATGAGCACACTGACACCTTTTTCCAGGAAAGAAAATAATAGTGATGTATTCAGAAATTTTAAAACTTCACATAGGAAGCCTGTCAGTCTTGTCTCTCACAGCTTCTGGGTTTCAAGTCTCCCTGGAAGATCTGTCCCATTCCCCAAAAGCTGAAGATACATTCCATATTTTTGTCTAATATTTTATAGTTTTCACTTTTACATTTAGATCTTTAATCCATCTGGAATTTATTGCTATATAGTGCATGAGATAAAAATCTTACTTTATTTTTTCCAGATGGTTCACAAAATTTCTTAACATCATTTATAAAATTGGTCAGTTTTTCCTCACTAGTCTGAAATGCTACCTTTGTCATATTCTAATCAGATTTTTTTAAAAAACCTGAGATTAAAAACTAAATGATATGAGTTATAGTAGAGAACAAAGACAAGAAGTGCATACAAAAAACAGACATCAAAATAAAGTTGTACACAAACTATTTAATGGGTATAATAAAGGTCATTCATATCAAAATAGTATAAATATAAATAATTCAGAGAAAATATCCTTATAAAATATTCTAGGAAGAAAAATTCAAAGGAAGAGACACCTATAAAATATAGCTGCAGCAGTTGATTACTCAAACATTATTTAGAGTTACTCCCATCATATAGAAAGTTATCTGAAGCCTCAAAGATATTAATGTCCTCCAGCTGCCTTGTAGAACCCCAAATCAAATGTTTCTGAGAGTGGATCAGAATGTCCACTAAATAAAAAGAAAAATCTGAAATTAGAAAAATAGTAAAACGTTTTTTTTTCTTATAATTCAAGATTGTTTGGTTTTTCACTTACACTCTGAGGCTTTGCAATATATTTCAGCATCTTACTTTCCTGGCATTGAAGTAGGGTGAAGGTGGACAGACGTTTGGTCTTTTGCAATTATTTCTCCCTTTTAACAGAATTGCTTGGGAGTCACTGGATTAAATGCCAAAGATAGTAAGAGTCAGTGTTGAACTCTGAAACCTGGGAGGAAACCCTAACATGCGGGCACCTACAATGCATGCCCTCCCAGGGCTTTGAGAAGTTCCTATTCAGTAATGAGCCAATGAGATTGCAATAGTGAATCCTGATATTTCTGGCTCTATCTCTCTGGTCTTAAAAAGCCTGAAGTACTGTGACATGTTAGTGGAATTACAACAGAGCTAATTGATAAATTTGCATAAGAAATCTTCATTTTGGAAGATTAAAGACTGTATTGGGCAATATAAATTTTTACTTTCTTACATCCTCAGTTTCAGCTTAAATAAAAATTAACAGAATAATCAAAGACAATTTACAAATCTCACAATGTCAAGTCATGTCCTCTGGGACTCATCTAATAAGGATAAAGAAAACCCACAAGCTGGTTTTGAGGTGCGCTCCCACACAGCATCATTCCAACATGGACATTGTATTTTCTCACAAATGGAAGGGTATGTTTTTAGGAAGACACTTGATTGAGCTTTAATCAACTAAATAAGCACACAGACAGTAATAACAACAGCACCAGTGACCACAAATAAGCCACTTTCTTTATGGGTTGGGGATGCTGAGCTGTGTTTGGGAGCTGTGGAGAGGTATGGCTTGCGTCACATTATACAGGTGATTGGAGTCAGTCATCTTGTTGCAAAAAAAATGGAAGCAAGTCACAGAATGTCAACACACAGGAGGCAACGCTACTGTAGCCACTATATAGCAAATGCTTGGATATTTTCAGATATTTCAGTCTGTAGCTGTCTATGTTAGAAATATAACAATTAACTGAACACATTTTTAACTTTTCTTTGATGGTCCTAGGGATACAAGCTGGACTTTGATTTTTTTTTTAATACAGTAAATGAATATAGATTTTTTTTTCTGGTATGGGAATAATCATTCCGAGAGTGGGAATACTGGCAGTTGGGTTAACAAAGGCTGCCCTTAGCGGATATTCCTGGAAAACTTGCAAAGCATGTGTCTATTTTTGCCACCATTAATTGATGAGATGGTTCTGGGTGCTCTTTGCCTTCCTGGCACTCTAAGTAAAGCTAGACTCTGGATTGTCTATTTCCCAAGCATTCAGAGGAATGCTAATTACAAAATACTTTACTTAAACACTAGAAACTCATTCATGAAGCCAAGCCAAGTCTCAGATTTGAAAGCATTTAAAAATATCCTTGCAACAGCCGTATTACTTTATACTTTATCTATTTTTAGAGGCTTAATGTTTGTTTTGCTAGAAGGAAAAAATTAAAACATGAAAAGTATGCCATGAGCGAATCTGCAATAATAAGCAGCACATACATGTAGTGGAGGAAAACATTCAGCATAAAACAGTCAACATAGAAACAGATTCTGCTGAGGCATTTTTATAAATAGCAGCTATTACTTTGCTTTCAATTGCTATGCATTTTAAACATTATACCCTTAAAAGTTGTTTACTTTATATAAACATGATTTCCTGGTCTTAACTTTCAAAAAATTATTATGGAAATTTATAAATGTATTCCATTCCTTTGATGTGTAATTTTATAATTACCATGTTGTTAAAATGAGAAATACATGGAAGGAAAAAAGAAATAGGAACATGTGATATCAGGCACTGAAGAAGCCATTAATTGGAAAATATGTTTCTCTGTATTGAAACAGAATTTGCCTATGAAACTTTTTATTAGATGTTTGGAACATCTAATGAGATTTCATGTCACACAACCTCATAGGTACAATTGCTCCAATTGGTTGTCAATAGATCATACCCAGTCTGAGGTCATAGCCTGCCTTATCTTTAATGCCCCTTTGAACTACTGAGCATAATAACAAGAAGGAATTACACTTTGAACCCTAAAAGAACAGTTTTGGAACTGTTTGCCTCATATACTTACTGTTATTTAGCCAGGTAAATTTTCACACTATATCTTTAAAAGCAAAAATCATTTTAAAAGAATCGGAATCACCTCCATCTGGAAAGTACAGAGGTGTATAAAGGGAAAGTGTGACTATTTCAACACTGGGGAAATCAACTTGTAATGCAGGGAAGAAAAGTGGATCTCCTGATTCTCATCCCTGTCACTAATCAAGGGCTACTGGCTGTGTGCAGGGTGGAGGCAAGCCTCCACTACCAACACCTTCCCAGAGACCAAAGGCCATCTCCAGAGTGGCAGTTCAGAGAAGCTACTGCTGGCAGACACCAGAAATTAGGGTAATACTTAAAGGGCCTGAAATGCCTATACTCACTGCTTCAGTGCTTCTTCACATCAACCCACATAATTTGACTTGGCAGTACAGAAAATAGTAAATTGGAGTTAAGAAAAATACTGACGAATACCGCAAATCATGCTCAGAATGGAAATTGTGACTTTGCTAGCATTACCAGTATTTCCTGCCTTGCAACCAACAGATCTGTAACTGAAATGGCTTGCTGTGAATTTTGCAGTGCCCAAGCCAAAAGCAATAACATTTCTTTAAGAGCATATGCACCATGACAGAATACAACATCAGCCCAGAAAAATGATTTTCCTGGGAATGTCTGTGCAGTGATGAAGAGGGCTCTCAAAGCTATGAAGCTGGACAGAGATTTTCACTGATTCCAGCCCACAGTGAGGTAATCTTAAAGGCACTTTTCCCTTCATTTGTTCTGCATTCATTGAATGTACATTTTTTGATGTCAGAGGGACTCTGCAGAAAAGATCAGATGAGATAGTCTGACAATAGAGCCAAAGTTCAAAGCTTCTCTATTTTTCAGGTAACAGCCGAGACAGTTTGTCTGCACTAAATCTTTTGAGGGCATGTCACTGTAACCCTGTCCAGAGCTTTTCAAACAGTTCAAGACAAACAAATCACTTAGTCGTTGAACAACTGTAACATCTGATAGCATCACACAGGAGTTGTAGCAAGAGCCACTAATCAAAGTTCTTTCCATTCAGTCGAAAAAAATTCCTCGGCTTTGGTTTAAGACCACTTTTTATGTTTTCCTTTAGAAAGTTATTATATGCCAAGGTTAATAAAAGAGAGAGAGAGCATAATTCCGTCTGTAAGAAGAACCAGGAAGTCCGACATTCCAGTTGCATGGTGCTGTCAGTAAATAACTACGGTGTGGTGTGAGGGCTATCGGAGATGATTGGCAAGGCCTGCAAGGGAACAGCTAAGCCTTCCTTGGAGCCTCCCTCCCAGTCCCCAGGTGAGCCTCCACTCTCAGCCAGGTCACCTGAGCAGCTGTGACCTGCTGCCTTCAGGCCTGCCGGCTGACTTCGCACAGCACGCACACCCAAAGCTAGCACCACCAGGCGGTAGAGCTGTAACACCACCACAAGGAAGTTCTTGGCCGCAAAGAACACCAGCATCTGGTTTATCACTTTGAAATAGGTCATCAATATGAGACGCACGACAAGGAAGGGACCGTCTTGTATGAAGACGCTGATTCCGATGTTCCACAAATCAGCACTGTACTGGCAAAATAACAGGCTTGGGAACCCCCTCGCTGTCACAGACAAGGGGCATGCAACACTGTGCACTGAAAACACAAGACAGACCAGTTAGTGTACCTCTGGGGAAGGCAGAAAGGTAAGACAGAGTGAAATGGGGAAAAGTCCTCAATAGTGGGTGCTCTGCTAGTTAACGATTGGCAGTAAACCTATCATTTAATTCTGGGTGGAACAAGTGAAACCACACTCAACATTTAACATCCTTCATTTTATAATCCAATATAAATATTTTATATTTACATGCTAGTCATTTTATATTTAAAATTGATCATCTGTTGTAATTTCAATAAAATACACCAAAGAAAGTCAGTCCTCTAGTTTCCATCCATGTAAGAAATATCAGATCACCTTCTAGTCCTCATACTGGGGAAAGCACAGTTGACTAGGCTAGAGAGAATACAAAATAAAAGAATGTCACATCCGTCCTTGGGTCTTTGGTGCAGGGGGACACCGTGGCAGGGTGCTCTGGGCCAAAAAAGAGTTGGCTGTCTCTCCTGGCTCCCTCCTTTTCTAGCAGCAACGTGCTAAGTTACTTAAATTTCCCTGGCCTCAGTTCCCTCCTCTGAAAACTGGGATAACAATAATACCTGTGAGGAGAGGGGCTCCTATTCACTAGCTCTGCTTGTTTCTATTAGAGTAACACCCATGCCTCCTCTCTGCTTCCTCACTTTATCATCCCCTTGGGGGTAATGAAGACTTACTGACCACTGAAGTTTGGGAGATGGAGCAGAATACATGTGGCCCAGATCCTCCTGGACTTCTCTTTGGGATATGCCCATTTACAGGTTGACTCACTTGGCCATACATGTAAATTATGCTATGAAAATTCAAGGACTTATATTCAAATTCAAACTTAATCATATTAAACATATTTTTTTTAATGGTGGGGAAAAAAGGCCTAAATAAATGCCATTGTTAGTTTATTCTAATTCCTTACGGTTTTGTTTCACAGTTTACAAGAAGGACTGGATATAATTACTGATTTTCCAGTTGAACAAAAGGAGGTCCAATCAACAGATGAACCTCTTTGTTTTAATTTCTAAAATGTTAATTTAATTCAAGGTCAAGGGCAGAAAATAATCCTTTTATAATAATGAAGGGTTCCACTTGGAGTTTTCAAACAAAGAATGCCTTAGTCTGCTAGAGACTGCAAATATTATAAAGCTGCTTTGATATGGGCAAACATAATGTACTGTTTGTTGGAAAATACAATAGTGATTCAGTCAGCAGTAACATTTGGTCTTTGTTTTTCAAACAGCTGCATAACATTATCACCCCTGAAAGTTTACAAAATTTCTTTCTTTAAATAAAAATGTTCTTAGCAAGACTATAAACCGCAGGATATGGGAGGGTGAGTATTAACAGAGTGAATGATAATAAAAGAAAACCAACATGAGATCAATAATAGCCTTTCTTAAGGAGTTAGGGGCAGGGAATGGCTCCCAGGGGACCTCCTAAGAATATTATTCACCATCTAAAGTGATGGTGCCTAGTATTCGGTCACAAGACACCAGCTGATTGGTGGGTATGGAGTGCCTTCTAGGACACATTATGACAAAATGTGTGTGTGTGTGTGTGTGTGTGTGTGTGTGTGTGTGTGTGTGTGTGTGATTGGCATACTTTTTTAAATGTAATTAACTAGTAAATAGATTTTTGGTGTTCCCAAAAAGCCATGGTCACTCTTTCAATCTATTCTGGTGATAACTCTGTTTCAGAAATTGGTTGTTGCTAAGGTCTGAAACATCCTCTGAAACTGGCCTATCAGAGCCATAAGATGCAGAAAAAAAATTAAGTATTCCTGTCCTAAGATTAATTGTATTCCGGAGGCAATCAGGAAGGGTGCCAATAAAAAAAAAAAAAGTCAGACTTAAGGAAAATGTAATTAATAAATCCTAGAATTTCTTCAGAGTAAAGTGGCATCCAGGGAATTCCCAAATCGAAATTCCAGGGCTCCTAGATCAATGCTGTCCAGTAGAACCTGCTGTAATGGTAAAAATATTCTATTTATTTAGTTCTATCTAATATGTAGTCACGTGTGACAATTAAGCACTTCAAAGGTGGCTAGTGTGATTCAGGAACTGAACTTTAATTTAATTTAATTTAAATTACATTTAAATTTAAATCGCCACATGTGGCTATTGGGTCCTGCACTGAACCATGCAGCTATAGCTCATCACTACTATACTAGAAATGCCTGGAAAACACTTTAGTTCTTGAAAAATCTCAGGGGTTTATATCTTTACTAAATTAAGACCAATGGGATCCCAGAGGCCACTATTAAGGAAAATTTTAATTTTCCATTTGGCCCTGAAATGGCGCTTACTTCTTGTGATGTTCTAATCCATGAGATTAACAAAGGAATGAAAATGACCCTTTGAAAATATCAAGTGAAAATATTTATATGTCACCAGCTGCATCTAAGCACTTTGCAACCACCCTTAACTTTATAAACTGTATCTTAGTCATCACAAGAATCCCCAACTCTGGTTACCACAATCAGCGCTCTGTTTCATGGATGATAAACTGAGGCAAAGATGTGTTAACTAATTCTCAGGAGGTTTTATAAATCATAAGTGATAGAATCACTGTTCAAATGAATATAAAGCTGTGCTCTGGTCCATTCACTGATCTCAGACTCATGTGCCAGAATGGATCCACACATGGCTTTCTGATTTCAATCTACTTTTCTTTAAACTGTATCAGAACTAACACCAAAATAACAAAATGATAATCCTCTCAAATGCCTCCTTAGCTCTATTACAGTTGATATTTAAGAGTTATGGTTTTCTGTTTCTTTGTACAAACATCAAGACAGTTACCTGCCAGGTCAAGTGGAAACTGCAGCATGCTCCAGGTCCATATGACGAGGATGGCATAGACCAGGGTAGGGCTATTCCTAGAATGCAGACAAAATTTTAACTTACTAATAATGCTAAGTTAAATGGCCACATGCAGAAAAGTCTGTTCTCTTTTTTTTTCTTATATTTGAGTGTACCCTATTAAACCCCTTGAGAGCTGTCAAAATATCTTGGTGATATAAGAAACTCATGAAAAATACGTGCATGATTATAATGGAATAAAGAAAAAGAAGTAAAAAATAAATCTGAGACCTAAAACCAACTTTCAAATATGCCAACATCTGTCTGTATGAATTGTGGCAAAGCATCTAGGTCCCTTATTGCTGTCTTTAGTTTTACAAAATCATGGAAACATTATGGGAGAGAAATGTTCAGACAAAAATTAGACGTGGACCTGTAAATTTATAAGGCTGACTTCAAGAAGAAGAAGTGAAAATTGTTCTAAGATCCTGAGACTCTAACTTAAAAATACATCTCAAAAGGACTAAATGATGCTCAACAATTAAAAACTCAGCATGTGAAAGAAAGCTATCTTCATTTGGAAAAATGGTGGGGAAATAAATCCAATAATCAAATATTTATTTCAGATACCAGAATATACATCAAGGAATATGACTGTTTTACTCACCACTGTATCCCTAGTGCCTAGAACAGTGTCTGACAAATAATAGACACTCAACAAACATTTGTGGAAGGAACTGTTGAATGCACAAGAGAAGGGCACATACCTGGTAGGTACAGAAATGCCACAGACCCAGAAGAATGGTCTCAAAGACTGAAACTGGAAAGAATAGAAGTTACACAAATACAAAGGATATTAAAGATGTATCAAAGACTTTATTTTAGCAAAGATACAAAAGAAGTTAGCAATTTGAGGTTAGTGGCATGATAATAGATTTTGTTGCCAACTTCTCTGTTAAGAGGGATTTTCAGATAGAAGAGGGATCGAAAAGCATCAGGGAAGAGGAATTGAAACCAAACTAAATAAGGTGATTGTAAGGGATATCTTTAAATGCTTCAAGTATTGAGGGCCTGAAAAATTAGATCTTAAAACTCTAAGAGAACTTGTAAACGAGGTTTCTAAGCTGTCATTATCTGGGTTGGCAGTTAATGGTGGAGACAAAGTTGATGACAAAAAAATGAAGTTTTAACTTTCAAAATGAAGCAGAAGTATATCTTAAACTACAAAAGGCACACCTACTATTATTCCCTATTTAGATTGCATAAATGATTATTTAAAAGATTCCTGAGAGCTCTTATGAAGAAGATAGTAATTACTAGGAATCAACACAGGTTCTCTGAGAGCAGTTGCAGTCAACTAAGATTATTTTCTCTCTCTTTTTTAAAATAAAGTTAGAATTAACAAGCAGATAGTGATATATAAATTAAGAATTGATATATGGATTTAAACAAGGCTTATGGAAAAGCCTCCATAGTGTTCTTATGAGCAAGATTAAGAAATATTCTGGGAGTGAGTACAGTTAGGTAGATTCCTAACTGCATAAATGACTCCCCAAAGGGAGCTCCCTGATGGTTTGCTGCAGGCTCTGCCTTTGTTACTGTTCTATTTCAGATCACATCAATGATGTGGTTGCTGACAATGATGGAAGGCTTCTCATATGCACATATGACATGGAGGTTGGTTGGGAAACAAATACCCCAGAAGATACACACAAGGTTCCAAAATATCTTGACAGGATGTAACTGGATGACCTAGAATAGGATAGAAGAGGTAGTATTTCACAGCAGCCCCCATAAAAAAGGCTCAGGAATTTCTCCTTACTATTATCTAATTATGAGCTCACAGTGTGACATGATTTATGATTTTCCAAAATCAAAGGCAATCATAGGTAGCTTCACAAGAAATACAAAGTCTAGAATTTTAAGCAGAAATGCCTAGGGAATGTAGTCTATAACTTTTCCCTCTTTGCAATGTCAAAGTCTATATATAGTAGACTTTCAATAAAGGCCTGCATTTTAAAATAATTTTACCTACAGGTTTTGAGCTCATACTGTGTGTTAGGTAGATTTCTACTTGTTTCCTCATACCAACTCTACAAAATAGGCACACTTACCATTTCTGTTTGGTCGAACAGGGAGGAAATGGAGGCATAGAGAGTTGAAGAAACTTGTGCAAAGTTATGTTACTATAAGTATTGGGAGCAGAAATCAAAACTAGATAGTTGATTTCATTATCTGCCCTTTTAACCATTATACCATATTATTTCCATGAAGGAAATGGAAATTTTTATCCCTGCTCTAGTCTACGATGTTCAGAATATATCTGAAATATGTATTACACTTCATGTTTTAGGAGGAACACTTAGAAAATGTTTGATCCAAAGGAGAGGGACTAGGATGGTGAAAGGACACAGAGCCAAGTTATATGTGGAGAGTTCAAGAAACAAAATTAGAGAAGAATCCTTAAGAACTTTATTTCACACATTTAAAGGGCTATCATGTGAAAAAAAGGAATTAAACATATTTCTTGTGACTTCAGAGAGCCAATTGTGGTTCAAAGGGTTTTATCTGTTCTATAAGAATCCAAATTTCATCATAATAGAGGAAAGTACTTGCTAATAATATTAACTCAAAATAGAATGAGTTGCCCCTGGGGTTAGGACATTCTCTATTAGTGAGAATTTTCAAAGAAAGTCTGGATAAAAACTTGACAAAATTTTGGAGAGAACTTTGCAACAGATGTAAAATAGATTTTTCAATACATGGTTACATTTGAAGTTTCTTCTAATCTCTAACTTCAATAATTCTACCAAAAGCTTATGTGCAATTTTGTCTGCAAGACAGCAAAAAGCAGAGTAAAGCATGAGCTCTGGTGCTAGCTTGCCAGATTTCAAATACTAGCTTCAGCCCTTGCCAGAGAGATAAGATGTGGGCCTCCAGTCTCAGATTGGTCATTTACTAGCTACATGAATATGAGTAAGTAATTAACATCTTTATGCTTTGTCTATGCACCTTCGATATGGGGATGATGATTATGATAATTGCTATTGGATTTTACATAATAATTTTATTAAGTATGTTGTCTAAATATGTTAAACATATAAAGCTCGTAGAACAGCACTTGATACAGACTAAGTACGGTAGATGACTACAAGTTAGGTATATTTTTTATTACCATGTAACCTTGAGACTTTCTCAACTTCTCTTGCCTGCCTCTATTCAGCTTGTAAAATGATGATAATGATAGTATCCACCTCGGAGTAAAGACTAAACAACTTACCACAACAAAAACCCTTAGAACAGCACTTGGTATACAGTAAGTGATAAATAAAGAGTAGTAGCAGTAGAAGTTGTAGTCATAGGTGATCATAATTTTTAAAGTCTCTGTGTCTTAATTTCCCCATTATCTAAACTAAGGAGAAATAGTAACACAATCTTAGGTCCTATATAAGCCAAACTCTAACACTACAATAATTAATGTCTGTTGTGTGCATGTGCAAGTATTATCTTAGCACACACAAAATATGGGAGAATGTGTTGAGAAGCATGTTAGTATAATTATTAAAAATAACTTTGGAAAAGATGGCCAGAAAATTTTTGAAACAGACAAATTTGTATTATTAAGTCAGACAGTAAAAGTTACTTAAGAAGGTTGAAGAGAATGTAAATAAACCACTGAGCTTCCGTGGTGAACACTAAAAGTTTGTGAAGGAATTTTGGAGTGAATTTATCCCGTATTTTCCCCATTGCGTAACTGTCTTCCCCATTGTCTCACCCCACTTTTCATGTGTAATCTCTCTTCACAAATGTCAGCTAGAAGTGTTGTGTAAGCAGACAATGGACTCTAGTCATAAAGAGACAAGACCATGAGAAGTGGAAGTGTAGATGTGAGTATCACTTCTCTACTTGGAAAATTAGGAGGATGAAAGACTAGATTTCATTGATTAATGCAGCAAATCTATTGGGTGAAAAGTAAAAATAAAGTCATACATTGCTAATTTACTTAGCTATTTCTTTTTAAGAAGTATAAATATTTCTGTGGATGAAAGATAGGCAGTGGGTAGAATTCATTTAACTTTCAAAAAAGCATGCAACAAACCTCTCCAGAGAATGGGGGCAAAAAAGAAAGCAAGGGTAGAGAAAAGAAAGAAAATGAAGTATCTAGCCCAGGAAAATGTTTCAATAAGCAAAAAGAACTAAATAAAAATAAAAATAAAATTTTGTAAACATAGGAAATTTCTCCTTTGTGTGGTCACATGCTCATAGTGAAGTAGGAGTAAGGCTATGGGAACCAATTAAGATTAGATCTTTGAAAACCAACCAAAGGCAAATAACAAATTGAGAAACATGTATTCATGAAAAACTGGTAGAACTTCAGTTCAGAACAGTGGGAATCTGAGATACTCTTTTCCTTGATATATTACCATATCCCTGCAGTAAGGCTATGTCAAAGAGAAACTGAACCAGAGTTAAATACTGAAGGAAGACTTTATTCAAGACTATCGCAATAGAGGAGAGAGACTACTGCAATAGGAGAGACAGATTGAATTCATCCCCACTGAAACAAAACAGGAGAGTTTTAGAACACTCCAGTGAGTTAGCAGAAAAGTACTACAGGACATTAGAGTGCAAGGTTGAACAAATGATGAGGACAATGTGTTTGCTAGTTGACACTGATTTAGTTAGGCTCCTATCATCCCAAAGAGACTGAGAAATAAGGATCCTATCCTTCTTCATGACCACATTTCAAAGGGATGGTTTATACATCTTCAAGAAAGATTTTCCTGGGCTGTAAACTGAAAGGAGGCTGAAAGAAGACTTACATCTCAAAGGGGCAGAGAGAGAATTTAGAGGTGCAAGTTTTACAAAGTAAATTCTCTAAGGAAACGGATATCAGAATCCTATGTTTAGTAATAAACCTTTTTAGATTTTCAAGCTAAGGGGAATGTTAAGGCTGGCTTAGTCAGTCAGACTGATCAAAACCAGAGACCCTTCATGGCCAAAGTCTCCTGACTTGATTTGTAGTGAGTGTGAAGTCCCATGTTCAGAGGCATGGTAAGTAAAAGTAATAAACGTG